TTAGGTTCCCGACCACGATATCTAACGACGTGAAATATTATTTTGGTCTAATCAAAACTGATAAATCAAACACCCTTTTAATTTATCACAAATTCACACTTGCCGTCTCAAATTGACATCTAGCAATATATCAGGGCAACACATGTGACGAGAAATGTCACGTGATATGACAAAACAAAAACTGTTCGTTTACCATGAAACTATAATCCATTCGTCAATATGATCCGATGAATTACGAGATATGGAAGTGTGTCAATCTCGATTATCGATCATATTTTTCATTCTACTATTAAGTCAATATGAGTCGAAAACTTCTTTTCAACTTATATGTATACCTTGGCCAAAGATTTCATTATTGACTTAATTGAATGAAATGCAGATCACAATCTCTTACCATCTAAGAGTGACGAATCCTCTATTAGTCATTCACAACCATCATATGGTTCTTGACATACCCGAACGATGTCGTATTAGTGGCCCTTGGCAGAGCAATATCCAACACCTTCAAAGCATGACTGTCCTCATACAAGGCACTATGATGACCTCAAGTCATAGAACCAATTCCACTACCGAATGTTAGAGATTAACCACTGATACTCAGATAGTTATCCATGTGGAATCTCTTAGCGCGTCTCCAATGTTTTGTTCTATAACAAAACATCCATGTGTTCATTTAAGTGTCACCACACTTTAACTCGTGAGATCAGCTACTTACTTCACAAGTAAGAAATGCCACACATGATGGTCTATCTGTATTAACGATATCTAAATCTCGTTATTACTTACGACTACGATTTGTTCAAAATCCAATCATACGTAATTTGTATCTCACAATCACAACTCCTTATGATTAACAAATTACTTAAATTTGGATCTTCGAACTCTATTATTTAATATTATCTATGACAAAATTAATTTAAATAAATAATAGATCTTACCAAAATTAAATGCATTAAACATATTAAAAGTGTTTACAACCTAAATCGATTGGATCTAGAGCATAACACTTACACAAGTAGCATTATTCTTAAAGTTAAAAATGATAATAGTCAACTGTCTTGAAATCTATAATATATTAAATATCACATTTAGTGAGAATCATTTGTTAGTTGATTCTATCCTTATTACAACTATTCCAATAAATACCTTACATTTTGTTTTTCAATATGTAAGAATTTTCTAACTAAAAATCCTCTCACGTTCCCTCGATCATTCATATACCCAATAATTAACAATTAATTCCTTTAAAACCCTCTACCCCTCTTCATAACCTTTGCCTTGCGCTAGCAAATATGTACGTATGTAATTGGTGGGTTCGATTTCTCTGAAGAGATTAATTCTCCCAAGTTCATGTACATTTTATATATTTTCGGGACTAGTTAATTAAATTAGGAGCAAATAAATTATTAAAGTTCATGTGCACTTATTTATTTTCAAAATTGTTCATTTCATTTATGATACAAATCATTCACTAAGTCCACGTACACATCTTTTTGTCTAAATTAGTTTTTAAGATCACAAGTATATATATTATTATTTTTTCATATTTATTAATTCAAATTACTTAAATTCAATGATCGTCAATGCATTTGATTGTTCTCGTGAGTATTCAACGTAAATGAATTAATCTCTCAATTATTTAAACCATTTGTACGACTAATTTAGACATTTTACTCATCGTTTTTTTGGAATTTATTTCACAGTTATATATATATATATATATATAGAAAAAAAAAACTTGGTGCAATCTATTTGTTGTGACTAGATTGCAACCGTATTTTATTTTTGGACGATTATATCATTACTATAATTCAATTATTTCAATAATACCTTACTTTTTCATTTTCAATATGTATTTAATTTATTTAACTATTTAAACAATATTATCATGAATTATTTTGTCAACCATTTAGTTATCATCAATGTACATTAGATACATTCATTTCACTTGATTGGACAGTAAATTAAATTCATTATTTTTTCCCGACGAAAGATGATTTTTTAAGAGTTTTGTTCCAATTGATTTATTCAATGGATGTTAACATGCAAAAGAAGGTACATTGATTTATCATCAATATACATCAGACGGAATCATTCCACTTGATTGGATGGTAAATTAAATCCATTAAATGTCTTTGAAACAAATGATAGTCTCTTGAAAGTTACGCTTCAATTGATTTATTCAATAAATATTAAGATGCCGGTGAGGTAAATGAGGAATATATTTGGTATCTATAATAAAATAATTCCAATTGATGTATTCAAAGCATATTGAGTGAAGATGAAGATGTGGTGATTTTATTGGATGTTAAGCTTAGATCAAAATAGTAAATTGAATTACTATTTTAATTGAGTTTCTGACATTAAATCATGAACTGATTTTTATTTCATATGAATCGTCAAATATTTTGCTTTATTTTCTAACATATCAATAGATAGGTTTTACCAAATTGAGGTCGCTCCTACATCATGGACTCACAGGTTTTAAGAGATTTATTGGAGTATAAAAATGAACGGTCAATTAAATTAACAATAGTTCGAAAGAATTCGATCGAATCTTATTCCAACAATGCTGGAAAAAATTATATTTTGAGGCTCATCCTAATTGACAATGAGGTACTACATATACTACGATGACTCTTTATTTTTTAATTACATTACATGTGAGAAGTAACATAATAATTCACTTCTTTACTGTGATATAAAAATTCAAGCCATGTTATTGAATAGTGCAATTGAAAATTTTGATATTGTGATTGAAAAGGGAAAATCTTCTATTATACGAAATGAAAACTTAAGACATGTCAATGGAAAGCATCGAAATGTTAATGATGAAATCGAATTGTCTTTCACAGCTGTAACAAGATAGAAGAAATCACTGAATGTATATGCAATAACATATTAAATTATTTTCTTCAATTCAATGAAGTACCAAAATTCGCTAGCGGAGATTTCGTGATTGATAATTATACTTTTTCAGGCAAATGCATAATTTACAATCTTGTTCAAAGAGTCTTACTGAGCATCAATTCTAAAATTCCAAAAACTCTACCCACATTTTATAATCTGCTCCTATTTTATCAAATGTTATACTACATGTACATAATAGAGCTACATACATATGATGTGATGAGATATAATTGGATCAAAATTTTTTCAATCGGATAAAAAAACTTTGACACTCTCTTTTTGACACCTCATCTGTATATAAACCATTATATAATTCCATTAAATACAAATATTATTATTTGTTTTATAATAGCTATTCATTGAATTCTTAAAAACCTTCACATCACGTTAGTAAGAGCAGTGGTGTAGAAATTCATGATATCTATGGTTGTTTAAAGGTCAATGAATTATCTTTTGTTCCAAATTTCTCATTTGTTTTCAAATATCGTAGGGTTGGTAATCAAAGTAAACATGTGTTCATCATCAACGTTAAAAGGCCAAGTGAGGGAACAACGAAGAAACGGGAAATGATTATCTTGGACAGTGGATAAACATCATCCATAAAATAAAATAAAATAAATTATAAAGAGAAAGCAAAGATGAAATTTATAATATTATTTACTTAACAACTTTGTTCTTAATATAGGCGTAGTAAAATAAAATTATACGATAAAACTCCAATGGCAAAGAGAACGTCGATTGAAGTGGTGACAAGACTTTTCAAAAGATAAAAAGCAATTTAGAATTATTTGGGAGTACAATAATGGTATTTGGAGAATATTTTCTCCACATCTTTTCAATTGTCCCAAGAGTAACAAGACAATCAACAAGGTCCAAGGAAAAATAATACCTCATGTCTAAATATATTTTCCACAACTTGTATTCTTGTATGAAAAGTTATACGTTGCACTTCCAAAAGAAATTTCTATGACAACTACAAACGTTTTAGTCAAGTCAAATACCCATAATCACCCAAATATATTGTATATAGAGAGAAATCTCATTGCATAAAAAGTTCATTCCATGTAAACAATTTTTATTAACTACTTTTTATACTCACACATTTTCGAATATTACTTTTATAGCAGTTATAAATTATTTTAGCTGCATGTTCAACTGTGATTAGTGCCCATAAAATGTTAATAAAGGGTAAATATTCAAATTACACCACATTTCATTTTTTGTTTTGTTTGCAGCACTATATTTATTTGCTCCTGATATTTTCAAGTAAGAAAAAAAAAGGGAATTATTCTATGGGTATATAAGGGGGCACATAAGGGCGTCCAAAATGGACACTCGGCGCCCCTCTTATGTACATTATTATGTACCCATAGAATAATTCGAAAAAAAAATAATAGATGTAACAGTTGAACAAAATATTTGAACTTCAGTTTAAAAATTGTTAACAAAATGTTTGTACAAAAACCAACATAAGGAAGAATGTGTATTACTCAATTGTAGGATAAGGATGCGATAAAAAATGGAGACTGTGATATTGAACTAAGATTTTTAAAATTCCACTAAAATTATAATATGGTGAAAGAAGGGTGTTAAATCATAGTAGGTCCTTATTGACTTGCTTATGATGTGAGTCGAGGGACAAGTTGGAGAATTGACGGTTTGATGATTTCGGTATCAATAAAGCTGCACGTACACGACAGCTCTTCACAGGGGCCTTACAAGCCCCTCAGTGTAGCAGTGGGTCCCACCTTAAAAAAAATAGCGACAATCCCCCATGTGTGTTGCCTGGCAACACTCCGTGTACGTGCAGCATCATTCTTTTGGTATAGAATTAAAAAATGTATTTTACGTATTGAATTGTTAAATTTTATCTTGTGGAAGAAAATTTCATAAAGGGTATTTTAGGTATTATATATTTGTTTTCTCACTCAAATTTAAGGGGAATACATGTTAATCAAAACTTGAACTAGGGGATGTTTCAATTATTTGTCCAAAATAAAGGGTGTCTCGAGAAAAAAACAAAAAGTAAGTGCGCCAGTGAGGGTCCAACCAACAATAGTACGTGTAAAGTATGAAACCCAATGCCCACTTCACTTGTACCTTACGAGCGGGGTCAACCTACTCTCTTCGAGTCGTTTGTCCTTTGTTCTTTTCCTAATTCAATAAATCGAACAAATATATTCCCTCTTTCTCCATTCCTCCGTTGTACGTTTGTTATCTTGTAATTTTGTTCGGACCCATATTGTTATTTTTGGAATCTTGGAAAATTATAATGATTTCCGAGAATTGTTTCTGTCTGTAGTTTTGAATTTTTGCTAGCAAACTCGGTTTTATAATGATGCTCTTAAAAATTGTCCATCTGTAGTTTAATTTTGTTGTTGAACAAACCCAGTTAGTTTACTTTCTGGGTTTCGAAGGGCAAAGAGAAAAAAGGAAAAAAAGTCAGCTCTCTCGTGTGTAAATTCGACTGTGAGCATAGAATTTGGCGAACAAAAGAAGTGATGGTCAGAAAACACGGATGGCAGCTACCAGCTCACACCTTACAGGTTCTGCTTCAACTTAATTTTCTATTTATCTAGTTGTAGTTAATATGATATTTTTTTGGAGATTTTTCTTTGAACTGTTAATTTTTTGAATTTTTTTCTTGCGGATTCGTATTGAAGTTGCTTGTAATTGGAGGAAACGATAGCATTAGGCTATTTTGTTGGAGTTTTAACTTTGGGTAATTAGTTGCTGGTACCAAATTAACTAGAAATGGTGAGATCGTTAAAAAAAAAAAAAGTGTTGAATTCTCCGTTTATTAAAACTTAAATCTAAGATGTGACTTAAGGAGGAGAAATAAGTTCAGTGAGTGCTAAAATTAACTTTGAGAATCACGACAACGTAAGTTTTCTTTTAAGTACAATCACATATGCAGGTTTCGTGCTGTAAGCCAGTGATTTTCTGCTAAATTACCCATTCTAAGTTATTTGAATGACTATGAGTCTATAGTTCATTACATTAATATCTTGCAGCAGAAATTTGGTGTTTAATGATCATCACATGTTTCGCTTTTTGGTACTTTGGCGGTTGATATCCTTCATTTAGAATTCTGTTGTCAGGAATTTTCATTAATTTGCTCTTCTTCAATTTTTATTTTTATTTTTCTGTTTTGTTTTTTATCTTTGCCTCGAGTCATACCTCAGTAATATCAAGTGGCATGCTTTGCATTTATTCATCATACATCATTTTCCAACATGGTGGCAGTGAAGTTACTTTGAAATCAAAAAACAATTTTCTTTGGGGACTATCGATAACAATTTTTAAGGTATTGACTGCATGTACATAGCAGGTTTAGATGAAACTTTTTCCATATTGAAAATTAGCTGAAGTCCTGAATTGAGAAAATATGCCCAGTTACAAAGTGAAATCTAAATTGAGGGGTTTTACCATGATGCAACATTAGCAACACCAGTTGAACCCATTAGAGGAAATTCATTATTTACTTCTTCAAACTTACTTTTAAGTTCCCAAGTGTAATTTTCAAAGCTCCTTTTCTACTAACAAAACTTAATTTCTGGAAAAGTTAACTTTCAAGCAAAACAAAGCATGCTCTACATAGATTGGTTACCACATATCTGAATTTAACCATGGTTAGGAAATTTATGATTACTTGTTTCGGGTAATTCTTCTCTGTTTTCTTGCATTACCTAATGTTAGTAATGCATGAAATAACACTGTGATGATAAAGATCAGGCTTCAGCCTGGCCTGCATTGACATGAACAATATGACTTTTCACCTTTTGCCCAACCTGGGTAAATCAAAATCTGATTTCCTGCTTTCATGTTAATCTTTTTATTTTTAATAACTTATGAGATGGTAGACATTAATGAGTGTCCATTTTGTTTTTGAGTTTTCAACTATCGAAAATGTTGCTTGGATTTATGGGTTGACAGATTGGCATAGACTGAGAGATGGAAGTTTGATGAAATAAAAGAGTTCTAGCAAATATTATAATTACAGAAAAAAGGGAATTGCAAATTAGCATAATTAAATAAATAGATTGATAGATTAGATATAAGATAAATATAACTGTCATTGGAAACAGGATTTAAACAAAATTACACAAAAGCTAAAAACTATTTTAGGGTGTGATGAAGGTAGGAAAAGTGTTCCATGTTCTCTTTAACTCATGGAAGCAACACGTGTGTTTTTTATCTCTTGATACTTAAAAGAAACTGTTTAAGTTACGCCATATAAATTTGTTCCTCCCTTAACATAATACTTGTGATTAATGAATGAAATGCAAGGTACTTCACTAATTTGATGTTGCTAGATTTTTTAATGTTGGGTCGCAGGAGATTTCGATTTTTCATATTTTTATGCACATAAAAGTTCTGACTTAATCCTGGATGTCATCTTTAACAGGTTATTGCTATCACCGTGTTTTGCATCCTAGTCGTTGCATTTTATGCTTTCTTTGCTCCTTTCCTTGGAGGCCAGATCTGGGAGTATGCTCTCATTGCTGCCTACTCTCCGGTGGTAAGTAGATTCATCAGACTAACATATGGCTTGCTAATGTCAACATTCTATTTTTTGCGCATACAAAAATGAGAACTTATTGATGAGAAACAATATGTACTGAATTTGAGTACATAGTACTGATGATTGGAACAAAATGATGGAAGGACCATTTTAACAATGAAGCCGGGCACTGGAGCTCGTGGTAAATCTGTCAACTTCGTTCTGGCTGAGTCACTAGATGACTTAAGCACAAAGAGTTCAAAACTACCTGGCCCTATTAAGTGTAATTGGGTGAACTGATGTGAAATATTCTAACATTTTGGTCACATCAAATGCATCACCACTATCACTAGAGTCTAGAGGCATAACCACAAAAGCTTTTTGTCAGATTTAATTGTAATCTTTGTGATCTATTATTTGGTCAAAGATTTGAGGCACTTAATGAAGGCCTCATGTGAGGCACACCTCAAAGAGAGACTCTCTGGTGCTTTTCAACATACTGCTCGCAATAGAACCTTAAAATTGGAACACCTTAAGCTAATAAATGGGAGTTCAACTATTTGTGATACCAAACTGAAAGCAAGGACAACAATAGGAGAACACTAAAAGAAATCACATAACAGAACTAGGAACAAGAGAGAACTTGGAAGAGGGAGAGAGACAAACAGAGGATAAAAGGGAAGCAATGAAAGATGTATAGAATAGAGAACAAAAGGGCAATCACCACTTTCTTTTGGTCGTTGAAATGTAAAAGTTTCTATATTACAAAGTAGGAAAATATTAATAGAGGAGCTTTACAAACCTAGCTTTTATCTTGCACCTGCTTCCATCCTATAGGTCCCATTTGCACCACAATTTGAAAATTTTATATTGTAGTTGTGTCTCATCAAAAGTATTAATAATTTGAATGGTTGATTTTATAATTATAGGCTCAAGACCTGTAGCTCCGGAAAATATATCTTTGACTGTTATAAGTGGTGATTTGATATTTACATTCCAAATATCTTTACCGCTTTTTTTTTCATTTTTTATTCAAACCTTACATTACATTGGTCTTCAACTTTATACACTGAGACTGGAAAGATGCTAAATGACCTGTTTATTTGCAGAGCAATCCATGACTCTATTTTCTGGGTATAGACACGTATATAATTAAGATTTTATGATGTTTACCCAATGCAGGCACTCCTTGTTTTTATTCTTTATGTTCGCTGTACTGCCATTAACCCAGCAGATCCTGGTATCATGTCCAAATTTGATCCCGAGTTAACAAAGAAAGCAAAGGAAAAGCACAGATCACTTACTCAGGGTCTGCCAATAAAATTTGACGAAATGAGTAATGGAGCTCATTCACCTTTATCTTCGACTTCAAGAAGTTCTAGAGCAGGAGCTAACTCAAGTAAGAGAGGTTCGGTTGAGTCTCTGAGAACAACTAGTCAAGTTATATCTCCAAGAAGGAAATCATCTTGCTATAATTTTGGAGGAATATTCTGTGTGATGTTTGTACATGAAGATTGCTGCAGATCAAATGAGGCTGCTGAACAGGATGGTACAGGTGAAGATGCCTTGTTCTGCACATTGTGCAATGCTGAGGTATCTAGTGGATTGGCACAATTTAGTTCTCTAATTACTCATATATTTCTTTCAATTATGGTCATATAGGCGTTTATCCAAAAAAATAGAAGGAAAAGAGAGAGAGAGAGAGAGAGATCAGAAAGACATAGAATAGCCGTATTTCTTCATGTTCCATATACAGGAAAGATATGTTCTCTTCCCTATAATGTCATTGGAGATGCCATCAGCCCCAATAAAGTTCAGCTATATTAGCATAGCCACATGTATAAAAATGAGTTAGTCTAAATTGATAGTACACTTTCTATGTATAATGCATTGATTAATATAATGTTTGATTACCTTTCAAAAAATAAGTTAAAGTTTTCATAATTTGATCACAAGATCGATTGCAGTACATGTTGGACATTTTTAATGAAACACAGAACTCGGACTGATAACTATTTTCTTATTATCATAGCTACGTGTATAAAAGATCAGGTTAAAGTTTTCATAATTTGATCACAAGATCGATTGCAGTACCTTTTGGACATTTTTTATTGAAACACAGAACTCGAACTGATGACTATTTTCTTATTATATGACTCTGAAGACTTTTGAGTTAAGATAAATATTTTAATACCTTGCTAATTCTCAAATCTGAAATGCATTCTCTGACTTGTAAAGTTTATTAAGGTATAAGACAAGAACAAAGGAAAAAAATTACATTGAACTATTCCACCCATTGAAGAAAATTCTGATATTGCCACTGGATATCTGGCTTTTTAAGCATGTGGCGATTCTTCATAGACATGGTTTATGATGGACGTCTTATATCTGTGCCAAGTTGACTACCATTACCGAAAACAGTCTTCTTTCCCATTCTATAGCAGTTTTCAAAACTTCTATATTGCATTAAGCTCGTCTTTAAAGTTGTGAAAAAATGAGCTGGCACAGACGGTTTTGTAGTTTACACTTGTTGGCTTTCTTTCCTTTCATTAAGGCCTTCAAAATCTCTGTTGAAAGTGTTTTACTCCCTGAGAAAAAGTGTCCACTCTCAGATATATGCACGCCTTCACTTATCAATT